ACTCCATGCCATGTTTCTCGTAGAAGGACAACTCGAATTACTTAATTGCCAAGCCCTCATCATGCTGAGGAGGACGAGACTCTTGCACCTCTTTAGGTTCTTTGCTCAGCCTTTCCCCCTTCCACGGCCTCTCCCCTTGTCTTTTGGCGGCAGAGTTGTGTCCGTAGAAAATAATCTTGATGTTAATCTTGATTTAAGTTGATAATGTTGATCTTAATTATCTTGATGTTAATCTTGACAGCACGGCAGAATGACTGATAATGTATAGAACGCGGCGCGGTATTATATGATCGTTGCCAGCGCAGTCGGCGCGTGACTAGAGCGTGATTGGCGCGCAGTTGAGGCGCGGTGAGCGTTGCCTAGGCGCAGTGCAAGCGTCGTTCGAACGCAATGCGATCTGAATGGTCGCAATAACGACGGAGTGGGCGCAGTGAAGCGTGATGCGGGCGTGGTGTTGAGCGTGGTGAAAGCTTGTTGAGCGCAATGAGATCGGGGTAAAGACGCACTTAGATCGTAGTATCGACGTAATTAGATCGTAGTATCGGCGCTGTGCCCGACTGGGGCCCAATTGGCCACGCTCTCAACCACGCTCACCACGCTCGGGCAAATTTTTGGAGCGTGGGACGATCGTGATGAGCGTAGCCCTGGTGTGAATGGGCCCTTACTAACATGCTAAGAACAGCGGGGTTAGGAGAATCATTTTCAATAATTAGCTTGACCGATCTTGGATACGGTATCTATTATTATTATATGCTAATACTAATACCAGGAGTATATAATAATAAACCGCATAGTATACCATATATACATATATATATATATATATATATATATACATATACATATATGTATATATATACATAGTGCCCTGTACATGAAGTACACTGGTTGCAGAGCAATATATATATACACACACACGCACGCACGCACGCACGCACGCACGCACGCACGCACGCACTATTTATATATCTATATCTACTACTTTTGCATTATATATATATATTGCAAAAGTAGTAAGTAAACATTGCGAAATATAGTAATAAAATGCACAGAAGATAGGTGAGAATAATGTGGATGTCTTTTAGTACATCGTATATTTTTTATATCTTGTTTTTAACCATACAGTGTGATCCTGGTCGCGGAATACATGCCTTATATGAAGCTCTGTACAAGGATCCAGTCAAGGTGGCTGTAATTGGTGACCCCTTATCTCCGGTTAGCGAAGCCACCGGTCAAGTGATCCATTTCTGGAATGTTATTATGGTGGGTTGACCACGTGCATCTCGTCAAACATTTTAGTACTGTTAGAAAATGTACAACTCCCAAACCATGAAAATGAGACTATATCAGTGATGATCGTAAGACCACTTTTATTATTGTGCAGTTGCGCACTATTGCTGGATAGCAAGAAAGCGCCTCGAGGCAGAACGAGAGAGTTTGTACCATCTTGAACCGCTAGACTGCTCTCATATTTCTCTGCCACAGTGTGCCGCCGGTGCCGCCTCGCCAAATCTGTCAAACAAGAAGAAATATCCCTGGTTCTTTCGTACTATCGGTTCGCAAAATGCTCAGAATCCAACGTACGTTGAGATCATACAGACCTACGGGTGGACTAGGGTGGCGTGCATTCACGAGTCGGTCGGACTTTTCTCTTCGGTGAGTTTGTAATGTCACATTTCATAGTTCTCTTCCCGAGTACACAGAGCTCCCGGTCGCGTGCCATTGACTGGTAATTCTCAGTCATTATGCTGAAATAAACGCGTTACCCGTATATTTATGTATATGAGATGATCAATATATAGACGTGAAACCTTGAATGCAGAGAGTATAGGATAGAACTGCAGGTTTCAACAATTTTTTTCAATATATGCACATTCTATGTTACAGGCAATGGAGGATGTGATACCGAAGCTGGAAGCAGCTAATATTACTATCATCACTAGTGAGATATTTACAGATAATCCCGTTCAGCAGATCGCAAACATCAAGGTAAAATAACCGTGGGGGCCCTACTGCGAATCAAAAATAATACAGCGATAGTTAAACAGCGAGGTAGATCGTGTAATTAGTGCGGCTGAATTTAATCGGTCAGCGTGCTTCTAAAATTACAACGATTATGTAATATGGAATATGGAATATGGATTATGGAATATGGAATATGGAATCGCCGGTGATCGTTATACTGGATACTGCCGAATTATCGGAGAAAATGACGAACAAGAAGGACGGAGAGGAGTTTAGTAATCCCGGATTCTGACCCGAGCTTCGCGATTTTTTTTAGAGACATGACGGAAGAATTATCATTGGGTTTTTCTACGAGGACATGGCCGTCAAGGTTTTCTGCGAGGTATGATCGTCATTGAGTTCCGCTAGCCGATTCCACATTCGATAGGAATACAAATCCGGTGGGCTGTTGTGTGAGCACCACACTAACGTCATCTCGGATTCAATCCGGGGCAGTATGATTCTGAACACCACAGATATGCTAGCTCGGATTCAATCCGGGCCGGCTGCAACGCGGGTACCATGGCTACATCAACCCGGATTACATTAATTCATAGCATTACATAGCGATTCATATAATCATCTGGATAGTATGCTCCTTTAAGAACGAAAGCCTTTGTAAACCTGCGAAGCCTATATGGTGATGGCATTTAGCTCCATCGATTGGCTGGCATGCATGGGGTTGCATTCCATGAATGCAGCTCAGAAGCGGTGTGAACTAGGCTTTTCTGTTATCACCATGACCTCCTGCAGAACAGCCCTGCAATAGTTTGCTTCGTTTCACATTTCTTGCGAAATAATAATGCAATGCTGAGATGACTTAGAGTAATTGTACATTAACGTCATTTTGAGATGTTGAGGTACCCATTTCACGTCTCCTATTCTCACAGTTGTACTACATTAATGCAATTTATTTCCCACTAATACACTATCTCTAACCCACAAGGCCTACAAAGCGGGAATCTACGGAGCACACTACCAGTGGTTAATTACTGGATTCTACAGCAAGAATTGGTGGCTGATAGACACACCACGACACGGATGCTTACCCGACCAGATCGCCGCGGCAGTCGTCGGAGTATTGACGTTTGCTCCATCATGGAAGAATCCAACTCGAGTGGTCGGGATATCGGGCTTGACAACGACCGAGGTGTTTTCCGAGTACGAGCTACGTTCTCGTGGACGGCAACTCTTCGCTGGCCACCAGATCGGGCTATGCTATGATGCTGTGTGGATAGTTGCTCTGATGCTCAATCGATCGCAGCAGATCTTCGAAGAGAAAGGTGATTGCCGCAAACTGAAACAAAGCTAGCATGCACGCTAGCAGACTATTGTTAGACGTGTACTCGTTCAGCATCGATGTATCCTTTACTGTGGGCCTATATATGCAGAGATGATAATGTCAGTGATAACGAAACAAGCAGTACTCTAACAGCGTGCGCATTTGAAGATGCAAATTTGTGGTATACAGTCATTGAACTCAGAAAGAAAAACTAAATACTAGCACCTACAGCTATATACCGTAACAACAACTATTATAGCGACGGGCACGCAGGTGCACGTACCTGAAGCCAACGGCAATAAAGAACGTAATGTTATGATCAAGCCTAATCCCGCGTCATGATTGATTTTTCCTCTTTTAATCGTTAAGGATTTGGACGAGGATTAGAGGACTTTCACTACAGCGACAAGGAAATGGCCCACGTCATGTTTGATGTTATGACGAAAGTTGAGGGCTGGGGAGTGCGTGGATACCTTAAATTTGACGAAAATCACGATATCCCTGAAACAGTCCAGATTCGGCAGGTTCAAGGTTAGATATCTGGCTGATCGTTGATTGATAACTGATTTGATTGATTTCATAGCATATCGTGGAATTAATATCATATAAAATCACATCATATCACATCACATCACATCACATCACGCACGCACGCACGCACGCACGCACGCACGCACGCACGCACGCACGCACACACACACACACACACACACACACACACACACACACACACACGCACACATACACATTCCATATAATCGCTTTATTTGTTCACGTAATAACAACGGTGCTGGACATATGCACATGAATGAAGCTGCAATAGAATGGTTCTGCATGTTTTATAATTTCCGCCTGTCGTCCTGTTTTATAGACGGGTTGTAATAACGAACCGTCTAATAGACAATGTCTATCATGGGATGATATTTGTTACTTATAAAAAGGGGAACACATCTGTATATTTTTATTTCCATTGTATATATAATGTGTGTTGTCAGATGTTAATTCGTAGTGTTGCGCGTAATGATTATAGTTCCCGCACACGCCCGCAACAGAGTACTAGTATATTATATACTTAAGCCCAGCGCACACGTGAGTAATTTTACTCAAATAAAATGACGCATAAGTCAAAAATTATCAAACACGTTTGATATTGAGTAAAATGACGCATGCGTCAAATTACTCAACGAAAATCCGCCGCACACGTGAGTAAAATGACTCATGCGTCATTTTACTTGAGTAAAATTACTCACGTGTGCGCCGGGCTTTATCAGTGCTCATCGGGTTATTCTAGCTGACAGGAAATGGCGGACCGTGGGCTATTATTTGCCCCAGGTCGGTGAGACACCAGCCCGAATGAGGTGGTTGGAAGGTTCACCAATTATATGGCAAGGTAATAATACATACATTTCAATTCATAAGCAACTCGAGGTATTTAGGAATGCGCGGAGAAAATATGCGTGCGTGCATGTACGCGTGCGTGCGTGCGCTTGTATAAATGGTGCATGCACGTGTATCCATGCGCGCGTGCGTGCGTGTGCGCGCGTGTATTTGGGTGCGTCTGTACGTGCGTGAATCTGCTCATTATCCTCAAAATGGCTGCTTTTATCCTTTGCAGTTTATGTTGACTATATTGGCAAGCAGTACAGACAGTTACACCATCAATTATTTTAGAACTGCGAGGAGATTCAAACATTACTTACTTTTTGTTAAAATACTTAAAATATATATTATTAGGTATAAAAGCTATTACCAAATCGTTAATAAATGACAACGTATGGATTTAGCGTATTTTGACATTTTTAAAGGAGGCGGTCCCCCAAAAGATTCCGTATTGCGTATTCTGATTGTACAGAAAGTAAATCCGCTCATTTACGGCGTCATGTGCGCTCTAGCAACGACTGGAATCCTTCTTGCCTTTCTCTTTCTGACGTGTAACGCCAAGTACAGGAAGCACAGGTATTAGCAGGCAGGCGTGTATGAAAGTGGTTAATTGTGGTAGCGTTAGAACGTTTGAAAGCTTCCAACACTTGCGTAGCAGTAAAAAACTACAGCGAAACTAGACGGCTTTGAAAAAATGATTAATTACTGACGTATTACTTAAATATTATGGCCTACATAGTTGTGGCACTGACTCCACCGGCATAATTCCACGCCATACTTGTTAAAAATGAGATGATGATCCATTTTCATGCAGTGTTATGAAGGCATCGTCACCAACTATGAATGGCATCATATTGTTTGGTTGCATTCTGTCGTATTCGGCTATCTATTTCGAGTTTACGCATGCCGACGACCACAAAGAGATGCTCTGTAAGGTAACGTAGCGTCAATACTTGATAAATTGTCCACATAACTGTTGGATTTATAGAAATATTATATAGACAAATGTGTTTTGCGGTAAGAATGCCGGGGAAAATTTCACGTATATGTGAAAATCTCTTTTTCATTCTTTGTAGTAATGTAAATTAGGTAAATACATGACAGATATTACAAAAGCTTATTGTCGGTTCCTTCAAAATATGATAAAATATAACTGCACTGCAACAAAGTTAGATTATGGCTACAGCTGGTAACTGGTGAATAATACCATTGAAGTAGAAACCAACAACAATTATGTTCATTCACGCGGCTCACAGCGGTTTCATGCGCAATATCGTGTGACAATGCCGCGTATTATTGCGCGAAAACTGCTGTATATCGGACAGTTTATTGTATAGCCAGTTCTATAACAAAGTATTGTATTTACAGCTGTCGATATGGACGTTGACGATAGGCTCGGGCATGGCACTTAGTTCACTCTTTCTAAAAGCATGGAGAATTTATTACGTTTTCACCAATGTGAATCTGCAGAAGCGGGTGAGAATACGTAATGCGGGAGTGGGAAGTAGGGATATATGTATTAGAAAGGGGAACAAAGACGTGAAGCAGCTTAAATATTTAATTCACCAAACATATAAATAATGATGGGAAATTGCTGAGCGATATGAGGCCCGGTGTGTTAGCACGCAATGCTTCCCACAACAAGCGTAGGCCTAACAAGCGTAACTAACCTAACGTCTTTTTCTAAAATTTGTCGATCTTACCAGCTCAGGGAAGTTAGCTCCCAGTTTCCAGTTCCTTATTCGAATAAGGAACTAGTAACTAGGCAAAGCAGTTACCAGTTCCCAGTTCCTTATTCGAATAAGGAACTAGTAACTAGGCAAAGCAGTTACCAGTTCCCAGTTCCTTATTTGAATAAGAAACTAGTAACTAGGCAAAACAGTTACCAGTTTCCAGTTCGAAATGCAACATTGAATAATTGAGAACTGGTAACTAGGCAAAATAGTTACTAGTTTCCTATTCGGCCAAATTAACCCTTTGGCACACATTTATTTAATCAGTTATCAGTTCGATACCCAGCTACTTATTCAGTTACCAGTTCAAATTACCAGTTCGAATAAATGTGTGCCAAAGGGTTAATTTGGCCGAATGCATAACGCTGAAGGGGTCGTTGTCGTATCAGGTACTACAGATATGTACCCGAGGTACGGTGTACACAAGTGTACCAGACCTGTATCTTCTCAGCATATATGTACCCTGTGTTTACATAAACGTACCTGCCCCTGAGATGTGTAATATTATGGATCAACGCATGTTGTTTGTTGATATAATATTTATTGTTCTGAAGAGCCATCCTCAGACACAGCTCACACTTCCAAGCACATTAGCAGAGAGCGCGAGTCTCTCGTGGAATATCGTACGCTCTCGTGCACGTCATAACGTTACATCATTACATCCCCCTTTCGAACTGGAACGTTACATCCCCCTTTTTTATAACAATAAACATGCGGACCTATGACAATTTATTTTTAACTTGCTGCGGTTTGTATCCATATAACTGACTGAGAACTAAAAACGTATAACATAATGTCATGATTCTTGTGAAAATATCCTTGCACTGTGTGAATAATGTTCCACATTTTTACACAAAATTCGTCGCTACAAAAAGGTTCACAAATAAATGTTTTCCGCATACCGGAATGTTCACAAATAAAACACTGTGAACTGGATTGTTCATCGCTTTGTACGTCTTTACCAGTTAACTAAACGAATAAAGATTCAATTATAATGCAAAACATCAGACTTGAGATTATGCGCACCACAAATCATAGCTTAATATAAGACTATTGTATGCATATTCCGTGCACCATTTTTAGGCGTCTGAATAACGTTTCGGCGTTCTAATCTGCCGCCCTGAAAGTGTTCTATACGTGTCACTGTTAACTCTACCGCCAACAGCCATTCCTGTTTTTGTGGTCACAGGTCTTTTAGTCGTGTTGTGATGCGGCCGCGCCTGTGTAGTCTGCGGCACAACGACTGGGTTGTCCTCAAAGTGGACTTGCTTGCCTGCTTTGGGCGCACTACGTAATTGTTGTCTATTACGCCTAAGGATTCTTCCATTTGGTGTTTCCACCATACAAGACCGTGGTTCGTGGCATTTTTGAATTACCTTTGCAGGTGACCACAGTCCAGTTTGCGGATCCTGCACCGTGATAGTCTCTCCCGTCATAAGGGGAGGTAGACCTATGGCTCCAGCTTAGTCGTGATAGTGTTTTTGGGTACCCTGTCTTTCTTGGAGGCGTTCCTGTACCCTATCCCTATCGTACGACTGTTGATAGCTGGGCGACGTTCTGACCGGAAGGTTACTAACCACTTTTCGGTTGAACATGAGTTCTGCCGGGCTTGGCAACTAACTGTCAATAGGTTCACCGAATCATCCAATATGTTACATTAACAGGCCGTAAAGTAGACGGTAGTTTGCGCATAATGCTTGGACCCCAAAGGAACTAAATCGTGCAAAATCTTGGCGCGAATAAATGGGTCAGCTATATATCTACCACCTAAACCCCTCTACCTTGAAGAAAATCACTACCACCGGATCCAGCACACGCAGATTCAACGCGCACCACGTGTGTTCCTCAATAACCTTGAAGCCGAAGAATGGATATGGTCAAATCAGCTGGACCCGGTGGAATCCGCAAGCTACTTGACCAACGTCAACACGGCAACCGTCGGCGTCAACAAAGCGCAAACCAAAATTAGTTACAACACAGAAGCCGCGAATTAAGGTCACTAAAACGACCTCCGGGCGTCGACGCGAGGACATTATCATGGCCTCACGTCGCGATAGTGACAGCCCGGCTCGAGCTGGCCGTTTGGAGCATTGGTTTTTTGCCGTTGTCGGCGTTTGGGCTAGTTTATGGTCGCCAAGACGCATTCGCAGAGAAGAAAATGGACGAGATTACTGGAAGCAAGTTAGGTAGGGAAAGTGGGCTGGTCGTAGGGATTTACCAATAGGCATACGACATAGCAGCTCTATGGTGAAAACCAGGGCCAAACAACATAAGGTGTTAACACAGTTGATGCGGCGTTGCGATAGAAAACAAGGCCTGATGTTCAACAGTGGGAAAAGTATAGTAGTGTACACGGATGCAACGTACCGTTTATGAAGTTCTTCGCGGATATGGTGGTAACGACGCAGATGGCGCACATCCAAGAGTCGTCAACGAAGATCGACGATCATAAAAGCGATGCACCCTGGCCACACCCCGAAAACAAGTACTGGGATACCATATGCAAGAGTCCTTGATGGAACTGGCACATATATTTCGCCGTTCATGTCATCACGTGTAAGCCCGAGAATGCTACAAGGCGAGATATATTGAGTTACCCGCAGTCTGGCTGTCACCTCCTAGCTACTAATCGCGTACGGCGAAAGCTGCAGTTGTTGACAGGTGTAGCAGAGTCAAACAGTTGATCTGCGACAACGTCAGCCGACAAAATGGCGGTAATCCAGATATGAAGCGATAATATTGACACGTGGCGTACTCACCCGCGTCCCTATGCTGAAAAGAAAACGAAGATTCCTGCGAGTGTTCGATGCACCCCTTCTTATGATATAGGGGCGCTTGGAGTGCGCGCGGCACTCATACCGGACAACCGTCCGATATGTACATTTGGCAGCGATATTAAGCCGTCGGGCGTAGATGACCTGGACGGCGTCGAAATGCACATGTCAGACAACCGAGCAACGTTATGCAAACATCGAGAACCGGGAGCTTGGCTTAGGCACTGTTTTGCGTGGAAAAGATTCCACATCGCCCTTCCTCTAATGGCCGCCACTCAAAATAAGAGTGTCGGACCAACAAGCCATTAGAGATGATTTCTCTGAAAAACTTCGACGTCGCAGCCCTCCACGATTACAGGCGGAATGATCGATGCGCGAACGTTACAAGGGTACGATTTTAATCCCCGATAAACACGGTATCGATCCGGTGACCAGCACAATGGCTCCCTGGAAGATTGAGTCTCTCGAGACAACCCAATCAGAGATGAAGCGTACTACAAAATTGACCTCAGACTCAGGTATTCCACGTGGCAGTTCTCGACGTCATAAGATTCAAGCAACTCCGAGAAAGAGTATGGGTACTTCTCAGACCTAAAGAGAACCGGCGGCAAATATCGGCCGCCGCTGTAATATCTCTATGGACGCCATGCCGCTAGCACCTAAATTATGCCCATTCTTTGCGCGCGTTGCAGACGTTATCATAGCCGGACTCTGGCCTCTCTAATGATGAGAGCAGGGCGCGAAACTGACGGTGCTCGCCCAGACGTGTCAAATAACTTACTGCGCTATCGCTTCAGCCTAGTTGGCCCCCTGCTCAGATAGTATATTGGTCCTTCCGAGATCGAAGCTGCGAGAAATGTGCCGAGAACGGACTGAGCTAACCTAAGAATTGGCGCCAAAGAGTGATGAGAGCGCCTGTAGAATACACTCCTAATGCGCATAATTAGGCACACCGATTATCCCCTAGTATGCCAGATTACACACATCGCGTGGTCACACCAGGGCGTTACCCGGCGAGTCCACTTAAGGCAAAATCGTTGTTGTGATTCTGGATCGGAAATATTTAACCAGGGATATTCGACAGAAGGTTGGTGGCAGAGCGGGATGCTCAGGCGAGGGGGAACACAGAAAAAACAAGTCAAGAGTCAGACATCACAAAGCTGACCAGCAACCCCAGCTAACCGAAACCCTTTGCAAGCTGTCAATCCTAACCAATATATGAGTGTCCCCCATGGACACGCGCAGCAACTGAGCCGCCTCAAATAGTATTGTTGTTTCCTGATAAACACTTTGGGAGCATAACTTTACTGTTCCAATTATGAAGACGGTGAGGGCAGAGTAACAGCCATAGGTACTGTTGGAGGGTTAAACAAGATTTCACCAAAATTTCGTACCGAAGTAAAGCACACTCGATTACAATGGCAGAATATTTAATACTACACCACATGTGTTACAACAGTTTCACACGCAAAAAAGAGTAGTAAGGAAAAATAACGATCATGTGTAATGCATGCACAATCCAGGTGGCAGTGTCAGCACAAACTAGTAAGAACAGATTCTGTCGACGAACCAAGAACCGGGACGAACCTGAGGGCGTATCATGTCCGAATAACGGATCGACCCACAATTTGGAATCAGCTAGAATTTTAGCGCAGCTTTCTAGCAGGCATCTGTGTACCGCATGTGTAAACACTGGGTAACACTCATCCCAGATCAGGGTGATGCCGGCTTGAGCACTTAGTAGTCCCGCTTCCGCCGCCCCAGGTACCCGATCGAATGGACTTCATGTGAAACGAAACGTGCGCACAGTCAAGCAAATTCTTAAGAAAGCTAAGAGGAAAACAAGGACAGATCCTGATCTGCTCTCTCTGTGGGTGTTAGGAACAACA